TTTTACTCAGTATTATGAGAAATTACAGTATGAAGACTGCACAGTCTCCGTACTGTAATGTTTTGCAACTTACATTGCCTTTACTATAAAGATTCTTTTGTTCTGCCCTTCAACATCTGGTCTAATGTACTTTATTCCACTGCGCTTTTGGAAAATATGCTGTGGTCACTGACCATGTTTAATACATTGCTAAAATGTCACATGCACAGAGTAGAACTTGCCTACGGTGCTACCCACCTAATGGCCAAATCATTCTGCTGCTTGGAACCTTACAGTAAGAGTAATTAATAACATCTCTGGTGTACAGGAAAATCCTATTGCTTTTTAAAAAAAATACGGAATAAGCTGAATTTTTCATTCAGCTTTGATAACCATAACTACTCTCTTTTGGAAATTGCCACACAAGGTCAGAACGACTCTACACGCATAGGTTTGTTATAAATTAGCTCTGTGAATAGGACTTGTGGTAGGTGAGACAGTTCCTTCTGGACTTTGGCATAACAACTGAATTTCCCTTAGCCACCAGCAGAGGATTATACCTGCAAAACAAAAGTTGCTAGCCAATATACTATTTTTAACCAGTGACCTTCTTTAACAACCTGGGTCACTTGCTACTAGAAAAAGGTTCTGAGGTGGCTCTCCAGAAAACACAGGGTGAAATCCTGAATATAAGACAACCAGCCTCAGTGCCTCTATCAGAATCTCTGCAAGTTTGCTGACTGTGGTGGTGTAGGCTGGGCTGGCCACTAAATGAACAGTAAATGCTCTCTTTAACCTCTCCCCCTTCCCAGAAGAGAAGGCAGAGAGATTTATGGGTTGGAAAAATCCCCCTAAAACTACCGTAATTAAATATTAATAATAAAAAGAAAAAATTATAAGAAGAAAATAATGAAATATATAAAATATATACAAAACCAGTATCAAGCTCCCAGGATGACATCACCATCAGGCAGTGGGAAAGTCCCAGACTGGAGTCTGTGACAGATGGGAAATGGATTCTAGATCTGGATTCAGGAACACACAGATTGGTATCAAAGGCAGAAGAACAGACAGAATCTTCCTCAAACACCAGCCACAGAAGAAGAGGCTGGCGCCTTTGATTCCTTAACTTTTAGCCTGAGCATGATGCAGATGGGATGAAGACCCCAGGTCACCCATCACATCCACTCCACCCTGCAGGTGAGATCCCTCCACACTTTTTCCCTTCCAAGCCTCCAACTTGGTAAATAAGAAAGCGAGCTGGCCTTGGTTGTTATAAGAGTATGTATAAGCAAGAGCCTCTCTACCTACCACTCCTTGGTATTAACTATAAACATCAGGCCTTATCACTGCTAGAAGCAGACACTGCCTGAAAAATACGCTACTAATTTCAGAGAGCACAGTTAGTTAGGAGAGACTTAACCGAAAAGTAGAATTGCTGAAAGTGAAAGTGGTTCTGTTCTACCTCAAACCAGGACACTGAGTTTGTGTTTCCCAGCACAACGCCAACAAACCTGCCTATAGAAGGCACCACTCACCACACACTGCACTGCTGCCCACCCAGCAAGCGTTTGCAGGCACAAAATCCCATTTCTGAAACTGGCTACTGCCACCTTCTGCAGCTCTATTTGCATCGGGTTCAGTTCCTGTAGTATTGCAGAAAAAAAGCCAAAGGCAACTCAAGGAAGACAGTGTGCATCAACTCATGCAGTATGCAAAATACGCCCAGCCTTCATTTGAACATGATTGTTTTGTTTGGATCAACCCGAGGTTAAAACCTGACTACGTTCTAGAAACAGTGGAAAAAGAGACAGAAATATCGAGCAACACATCCCTCTTGGAATTTCAGTTACATGTAACATAATTTATCTGCATTTGCCTTTGTTCTCCTTGACCAGTGAGATCTGTCAATACCTTAAAAGTCTGCATATAAGCCCGTCTGCAGCTTATGAGCACAATAGCCAGTCCCTGACAAGTCACCACTTCCTGAAGTTACCACCAGTTAAAATAACTTCCACATCTGTAAAAATGGGTTTGAACAATCCTAAATCACCAATCAAAACATATGATTAAAAAGCACAATTTATACAGCATGTTACAGCTATCAGACTTCAGAAGAGGTGTCCACATCCTTCTATGTCAATACCTATCCATTTTTTTTTCTAAACTTGCATAGGACAAATTTTTGAACTTTATTTTACAAAAGTAAAGTCCAGATAAAGCACAGATAGTTGAAACCCTTATGTCAACAGGTACAGGATCTTCCTAGTGTCACAACTTTTCACTTTGCAGAAATGTCCATCTGGTTTACCCTGCTTTAGCACCAATACATGCAGAAGTGAGACTGGGATTTAACTAAGACCGAAGGGCCAGTGTAGAAAAATTGGAGAATTTTAGTAAATAACCATATGATTGCTCCAAGCTGGTCACCACTCCCAACAACTTGGGCACTACAGCATGGATCCATTACCCCAGTGCCTGAGAGCATTCCCAGTTAGCCGGGCCTCTCAGATAAAAGGGAACATTTAGGGACTTCTCAAACTGATACTCATTTTATAAATTCATTTCCCAAGGCAGCAATACTCTCTGCAGATAGGATGGTGAAATTATTCAGAAGTTATGTATTTGACAAGTCTCTACAAGAAGCATGTATGAATGCTTCCAGCTCACAACTTAATGCAAACAAGTGCAAACAGACTTCTACCACAGTTTGTTAAAGAGTACTCGGCAATATACTCTGCTCTTGTCTCTCTCCCATGTAGAAACTTGAAATATTTTATGCTAAACGCTAGTTTCAAAGTGTGGATTAAGGAAAATACAACCACTGATAGCTTCCAGGTCCAAGCCTACTACAAACCCACTCACTGTTCAATTATGTACAGAGTATGTTATATTACTAACATTTCTACAAATCAGGATTAAAACCATTCACTGGATTAACACAAACTGTCTCTAATCCAACTAAACACAATGGGTACTGCACCTCATACTGCTTTCTCATTTTTTTGTCTGTTTCAGCTACAGCCTTGTCAACTGAGACACTTCCAGCTCCAGTACTTTGCCAAGAAAGGAATGATGAACTTCAGCAGCTCGCTGTTCCTGACCACAAGGGAGAAGAAATCCTGTCCCCTCAAGCTGTTTGAAACAAGACTCGCTAGAAAAATATCAACACAAGAATTACACACTGGTCAAGCAACCTGTCCATCCCATACACTCATGGCTGAATTTCATGTGCTCTAGGTTAAAAAGGTAGGGGGTCCTGCTAAATTAAGAGTGTTACGTCTGATTGCTACAAGAATTAGAAATCTGCAAGTGAGCAATGGTGGCTCTGGGCTGGCCAATAATCCAGAGACAGAACTCCCTCCCAGACTGATCGTCATGTATCAAGGAGAACTCAACATGGTCTTTGCTGCTGGTGAACCAGAAAGCAGAATATCAGTTAGTAAGAAAACCATACTTGTTCCACAACATCTTTTACCAACTATCACAAAGGCAATCTTATGAATTAAAAAGCTACATTCTCTGAAAACCAAGCAGGTATTCTATAAGATAAAAACAGATCAGAAGAAAAGCTAATTAATTTTCACAGTGTACCATGACTAATCTTGGCATATATGGTACTGGAATAGCAATCACTGAGTACAAATGAAAACAGTGTTGAACCCTGTCCTATTTTTAATCAGATGGAAGCCACAAACCAAGCCATGCTTTTGCTTAGTGTTGCATTTTCTTCTACCCTGATAGCTTTTACAGCTGGAGAAATAGCTACTTACAGCACTATTCTGCTGTAAAAAATTATTGGTACTTACAGCTACTGGGATTATAGTTGAATATTTCACAGAAAAGGAGGTCCAGCAGAGGCAAGCTAAGAACATTTCCTTGGGACACTTAACCCTTTCCAAGCTGTATCAGTTCCTCTGAATGAAGATGTGCTTGATCACAATTTAGGGGGTATTAAACTGTATTTGCAAGGTTACGTAGCAAACCAGTGGCAGAGAAGTAAACAGAACTCTGAAGACCAAGTCCAAATCATGAAATTCTTGATCACAATTTACGTGGTATTAAACTGTATTTGCAAGGTTACGCAGCAAACAGAACTCTGAAGACCAAGTCCAAATCAAAAAAACCCCAACAATCTATATGACAATATTTTTAATGACATTTGAAGGCGATACACCAGCGCTGGCAACGTGATGGTGTATTTCCCCTCCATTAGTTGTGCCATACAGAGCTATTTTTATTATTACCACAAAGAGTTTACAAAAGCAGTTCTACACAAATAGCAGCTCACAGTTCAAAGACTTTCCTCACTTAACAGTGCTTTTTGTATGCATTAAACAGAAATACTGTTAGTCACATTTTAACCTAGACATTTTAATATCTGTAATCATAGCCTGGAGTGCGGAAATGGAATGCATGCTTATTAACTCAAATTTGCAAAGCCCAGTTTTTAGCCAGTCAGCGTGCAATATAATATTACAAAAATAAGACTTATTTGTGACAACATTCAGGGTGCACACAAGCTATAAAAGGTGCAAGCTCTCTCCCCTATCCTCCACTCCTCTTCCCTCAGCTTCTCACTTACACATTCTTGGGAACCAAGAGCAAGGTGGAAGTGGAAGCCTAACTGCTGTTTTAAATGCCTTCTCGTCTCCCCAGTAAAGCAACACTCATCACCATATGCTTCATCCAAGAAATAACCTGCTACTATAAGGATGAGAGGTGGAGTGTCAGAGATATTCACTCTTTGAGAATATAATATTTCAGGAGAGCTAAACTGGTATTTTATCTCACAAGGAACTTTCTTGCGTATTTCCCAACACAAGAATAAGCACACTTGTCTGTCACCGACCATTTTTTCACTGATACACTAACACTTCCTACAAAAATGACTTCCTTTGCTCAACCCAATGCAGAAGCAGCAAAATTCCAGTCTCCAATCAATTAAAATAATGCTAATTGCCATCAAGAGGTAGGAGTTTGTTCCCCTGCTGGAAATGCGCATGCAGAAAAGGACACACCTTTGGAGTGTTTCCCCGAAGGCCTCTTGGGTAATGACTCCTCAATGGAATGTGTTGATGTATGTAGTACATTTTCCAAACTGTTACTGACACTGTTGATGGGGGTCTCGGACCTTGGAGTGACCTGGAAAGAAAAAAAAAAATCCAATAAAATAAACTGAGGAAATGCACAAACATCACACCTTCCTCCAGAGTGAGCAGAACCGCTTTGAAGGCAGTCAGGAGACATTTTCTTCTTTTAAAACCAAAGAGTGTTACTATTGATATTCCACAAGTAACAGTTCAGGGAAGTTGTTTTTAGTCAGCAGCTATTCACAAATCTAGATTATCTTGGCTAATCTATAAAGCTACTTAAAGTATAATTCTTTTTTAAACAATAGTCACAGCAGTCAATAGAGATATTGCAAGACCCTTAACCTCTCCACGCTGCAGCTCTTAACTTTTCAACAAGAAAATAAAGGGAAAGGAGCTCTTGGAAAATATCCTTTTTATGTTATGTTACCTACCTACACAGATGCAGAACCGAGGCATTTCAAAGTATCTCCACACAGATCACAAGGAATGAATTCCAATTTAGCAAAATCTAATTTTCTTGTCTTTGCCATTTAAAAGCCCGCTATCGTGACCATATTTCAATGAAAAACCACACACTAAAAACGTGTCACGGGGAAGGCTGCATCATCAAACCAGACTTCATGGCCTAATAAGTACCTTCTAAACTGCATTTACCATAAGAAAACATATTCTTACCATTACTTAAAACTACAGGAACTAACATAAGTCATTAGAAAAAGCAGAATTGAAGACTGCCCACTTCAGCTGCTGTCCAGGAGAGCATTCATAATTATGTAGCAACACATTAAAACAGCTATTACTTGTAGTACAACACTCAGTGCCTGCCTCATGAGCAAGGCAATTACTCTCTTGTTTACTAGGTAATGAGAAGCTGAAGTGGATGAACAATTAAATTAGCAGTACTGAAAACAAAGGTTTAACTATCTTAAAGAGGAAAGTGTGCTTTAAAGAGGTAGTTCAGACTTAACAAAAGCCCTGGAACTAACTAGTGCACTGCTTGAATTTCAATTGCCACATTCTGAATAACGTGAAATCCTGATATGGAGATCTGTAATTAGAATTAAAGGTGAATTTTAGCCTTTCACAAATCACAGGTGAAAAGGTGCATCCCAACATAAGGAAAGCAGCCATCCTCTATTCATGGTAACTGACACCAGCGACTGCAGGTCCCAGAAAGGAAAAAGGCTCACTCAGACCCTGATTACTTGAGTCAGTGCAACCAGTTAGGACAATTTACACTTAAAACAATACTTTGCTCACCCTACCTTTAGCCTTAAGTATTGACATCAACCAAAATACACAATCCCAGTCAAAAATAGCACATCCTTACCGCTAGGCAGTACACAATAAACCTATTGTAAGCTCCATTTTAAGACTGACGTGTATAACTTTGTATGCCGTTTCAGGCAGCAGCACCAGTGAAAGACTTGATACATTTGACATCCAGAAAAAAGCTTATATATGCAAAGAAATCACTCCAGAAAGACAGATGAGTGTCAGAAGAAACTATCTGCTTTCCTTTTCAGCACTTAGAAGTAAACTTAATTTTTGATCAAGAAGTAGACATGATATTTCTTCAGCACATCTTTCCACAAATAACAAAACCCCAGTATGAAGGTTTCCCATTAGAAAGACCAGCCATTAAACTTTAAGCTTGGAGGGTGGAGAACAGTTTAAATCTCTTTGCCAAAGTCAGTCTTTACCACAGCTTATCCCACAGAGTCTCTCTCCTGGAGCTCATTAAACTCTCCCTCCGGTGGGTGGCTGCTGAGAGGAAGTTCCAGTGGACTGAGCAATGACACCATCATCCTCCTGGCAAGGGGAGGTGGCAGAAGAGCAACCCAGGAACAGCACAAGCCAGAAAATTAGATTCAGGGCAGACTATGTTATCCTAAACAGCCAGGTTCCAAACATGCAGAACAATCAGCAAATATAAACACGGTACTTGAAACTGAGTAAGAACACAGCCACATGGTTTCAGACAAATCTCCAAACAAGCAGTTTGTTATAATATATTGCCTCCTGTCTTGTATTCCCTTCTCTCCACTATCCTTACAGTAAGCATTGCGTGCAGTTTAAAATTTGCATTTTGTTTATACATAACCTCCAATTCTTTCCATAAAGATTTAATTTCTATATACTTAGTAAAGATTAATTTAGCCCATATGTCTTGACTGACTGAGCTCATATACTATCTGATTCAGTCACACATCAAAGCAAAGCAGTTCCAAATTGGCCTAGGAAAAAAAAAAAAATCACAAAGCTCTGATTAGTTCCAAATGGAGCACTTTGTTAGCGAGCTGAGTGGTGTTATAAGCAGTGAATCTGACTGCTTAAAGCTTTCATTCCAAATTTTAAATAATTTTTTCCACTGACTTAAACATACCAATACTGCAAAGGTTTGGATTTGTTTAGCAAAAGTAAAATAATGAAATATGTTTTGCAAATCAAAGTTTTATTTCCAAAATAGTAACAGCTTTTTTTTTATTTTTTATTTAATTTGAGGCCAAGGAAAACACAGAAGAACAATAACCCATCAGCTATGAACTGCAGGAGATACTGCCCTGGCAGGGTTGGGAGAAACGCTGGCAAAAGCTTAACAGTGGATGCCTAGGAAGGACTTATCCAAATTCAGCTGCAGAAATTCAGTGTCAGGTAGATTCTGGGAGGAATGCTCCCCACAGCTGAACACCACTGCAATCCCTAGCTTGGGCTCAGCACAAACAACCAGATTCCAAATAAAGAACAAGGCATTCCAGTGAGATAAAGCTTCTGAGAAGCGGTGAGCAAATTACTACAGATCCTAAAAGGTCTGAAGCATTTCTGAAGAAAGCCAAGATGCCATTAAAGAATAAGCATCTGCTGTTCAGGAACTATTAAAGGCTTGTTTTCTGAAGCAGTAACAGTCCACAGTAAAGGTGGATAAACTGGCATCACAGAAACCAGAAATGTTCAGGCTATGTATCATCATAAACCACAGGAGTGACATTTTATAAATGCAGAAAAATTCACGAATCATTCAAAGTCTCAGAGGGCACAGCATCAGACATTTGAAAAGAAGAGTTTGGATTTTTCAACTTAAATTATTTGAGAACATCAACAGAAACAGTCCATGAAGACTAATCAAATAATACAGCAACCCCAGAGAGTTAAAGCAATAGAAATACTTTTCACTATACCTAACCTTACCCTTAGCACAGCATTTGGTAGACGGCCAGGGAGAAGGAAAGGCCTCAGTTATGCCTATCTATAGTTTCATTAGATTATTCATAAACTGTTTTAACATCAGAGTGGCCTGTTGGCTTATTCAATGACTCTAGAAGATGCACCACTCAAATGGGTGCAGAAGAAATTTTTAAACTATTTTTACTCAACTCTAATGTTGTGTCTACTCCCTCCACAGCAGAGCATCTGGCTCACAGATGAGCTTCTGATTTTCCAGATTAAAACCTAGCTTGTCTCTTGAATTTCAAATTCAAGCAGTAGCCATAACTGAAAATAACAAAGAAAATTCACCATTACCTAATGACTGCGGTTCAGCCTGAACTATTCTGTGCCTCACTTTCCATAGTAATAAAGACAGTATCAAAACTGGTTTCTGCTACTGAAAAGTGCATCCTTCCCAACATGTGCTAGACAGAAGGATCACAGAAGGTCACCCTGAAGCCCTCCACCCCCAGGACCTAACCAGGAAGAGAAACAATCACTTTCACTCGGGGATTGAGGACAAACATGTCAAGGCATCACAAGTCATTGCTAGAATTTTAGCTATTATCACATTTTCCCCTTTTCACCTGCCAGCAAACAATAAAAATTTTTTTTCAGCGGAGTGCAGTGATTTTCTTCTCAGCATCAGAGATGTACCGACAGGCCTAGGTCTTCTTGGGACAGCAAAAAAAGTTCTAGAAAGCTCTTCAAAACCCTTGATCCACCAAAAAACACACAGGAAAATAAATCTGCACGACAAAATCACCTGGAGCAGTTACTTCAACAAGCAGTGTTTCTTTCAGCAACTGCTACCTGAAGTGGCTCTGCCACTCTCCAAGACAGTGGAAGTCAATATAGAAAATGGTAAATGTGTGAAGCCAGATTTAGCTTTGCTCCCCAGGGACAACGCCTAACATTTAATACAGCAAAGTCTTTCACAAAAATAACAGGACTGATAGAAATCAAACTTAACATTAAGAATTTTACCCAAACAGCAATTATATGTTCCTTTTAAAAATAACCAAACAGAACACAGAAAATACATGGTTTAATAGTAAAGTATTTGCTGACTTGGTTTGAAGTGAAGCCAATATTAAAAATCAACATAGCTCACTACCTAAAGTGCAACATGACCTATAATTTAAGGGAACAATGATACGGGATCTGAGGGAATAAAATACTGATTTCTATACCTAGTTAGGTATGAAATTTAGGTTACGTATTACACAGGAAACATAAACAAAATATAAAAGCAATGAGTCAATTAAGTAAGATACTGGGGCCATAGCTAAAAGCCACACGAACACGTTCTCCCATCGATGACACAGGAAAACTTTTTCACATAATGTTCAGTTTTCAGAAGTGGCCAGTGATACACTGGCAAAGTCCCACAGATAAATGCTTCTGCCAATACTTGCTTGGGAAGTCTCCACTAAAGAAGGTTTTTCATAGTTCTAAACCGACCTCCACGCTTGAGGCTGATGCAGATAACATGTAAAAGTGCACTCAGAAATTAGAGTACTGAAGTCAGAGGGGGGAGAAAGCCAGTCAACTCCATTCGCTCCTGCCAGTTTCCTATTAGCGAGTATTAACAGCAGCTTATTTTGAGGTTAACACCAAGGTCTTTAACACGGTGCAATCCTGCTTGCAAAAATGCTCCTCCAGAAGCTGGATGGCAAGGATAGAGCCCGTGCATGCTCAGGCAGTTCAGCTGCTATTTCCCAATGCAGGTACGTAACTCAGGTTCCCAAATAATTTGAAAAAATAGCAAATACAATTGTCCATTAGGCAAAGTCTGAGCCAGAAACAAGAGCACCCAATGCGAGGAGCCGAAACTCAAAA